CTCTGCTTGATGTCTGCTGGATATGTCAAATTCAGCACTTCTGAAACCAAATTATTGATCTTCCCCCCAAGCCTGTGCCACCCACAATCTTCACCATCATGGTTGTGGCAACTTATCCGTTCTCCCAGCTAGTGGGGCAAAAATCCTCAGGGTCATCCTCATGTGCTTTCTTTCTTCCCCACCCCACGACCTGTCCATAAGGAAGTCTTGAAGGTTCTACCTTGAAAATATACCCAGAATCCAGCACTTCTCCCTGCTGCTCCTGCACTGCCACCAACCCTCTTTGAGTCACCATCATCTCCCGCCTGGACACTGAGTTAGTGTCTTAGCTGCCCCCTACAGCCACAAGGATCCTTTTAAAATAAATCAGATCGTGTCACTTCTCTGTTCCACACCCTGCAAGGACTTCCCCTGTCACTCTGAGTAAAAGCCACAGTCATCACTGTGGCCTGCAGGTCTCCATTATCTGGCTCCCCATTGGCTCTCTGACCTGGTCTCCTCTTCCTCCTCTGTCTTTGTTCTCTGAGCTCCAACCACAAGACCTCTGCATGATCTCAGCTTAAGGCCTTTGCAATGGCTCTTCCCTCTGCCTCGAAGCTCTTGTCCTGGATATCAGTATGGCCAACTCCCTCCCCTCCTATCCATCTTTATTCCAGATGTCACCTTCTCAGTGAGGCCACCCTGACCCCTCTCTTTAAATTTCAGCTCCCCCTGCACACTCCTGATTCTCCTCACCTTGCTCTGTTTCCTTTTTCTTTACACTTACCACCGTTGAAAATTCTCTATTATGTGCTCATGTATGTTTACTGTCTATTGCCTGTCGCCCTCCACTAGATTGTGAATGCCATGAGGGCAGACATTTGGTCTCTTCTGTCCATTGAGGTGTGCTGAAGAAGAGTGTTTGGTGCATAGTAGTAGTGTGGTCAGTATTTATGGAATGAATAGTTGTGAACAGAAGAGTGCTGAGGAGGCAAAGTAGAGAAGGCAGGAACAGATGATGGCAGCAGGTCAGCAGCAGCTGGTATTTGTTGAGCCTGGACCTCTTGCCACGCCCCGTGAGAAGGGCTTTACGTGCTTTTGTCTTACTTAATCCTCACAATGATGCTAAGAGATGGCTACTCATAATATTCTCATTTGACAGCGAAAGAAACTGAGGGACAGAAAGTTTAAATAAATTGTCCAAAGGCACACCACTGGTAAATGACCCACCTCTAGTTAGCTTTAGGACTTGTAGCCTCAGACTAATAAATCTAGAGGAAATTATGGAGTAGGGGGTGGAGGGAGATGGGGAAGTGTATTTCATTGTTAGCAATACTCTTCTCAGAGCGCCCTTGTTTAACCTCAGAGTATGCGGTGTTCATTTCCAGATAAGGGAGGCTTTTGCTGGTGGTTAATCCTGCGTCTCCAGAAATGCATTCTGTGCCCCTCTCTTTTCTTATTGTTTAAACCCAGATGTCTCTGTCCTTGTCAGAAGTGGAAGCCATCTGGGCTTTAGTCCAGGGAAAGTTTGGTGGTTTCCCATATGCTTTTCCAGGATGACACAAAGACGTGGCCGATGGGGAAACATAAATGGTGTTTCCCCTCCCCCATTGGAGAGTGGCAAATGCCTGTTTCGCCAAGAGTTTCGGTGTAATGGCTTTTTTTCTTCAGCACTTGATCAACTGTAGAATATCTCTTCCCACATGCTGCGATCCCTGGGAGGGATAGGCCACAGCCTTTTGGGGCCACTTTTAGGGGATGTCTGCTTCTCTGTGCCAGGGTGGTCCTTGCCCTCAGAGACAGAGGATACCCATCACCTGTCGACTGCTGTCAGGTGTCTGAGTGGATCTTGTGAGCCTGTTCTGAGCCTGAAGCTACCATGTCTCCCTCCTCAGCAACTGTATTAGTTTTCTGCACTCTGTAATCAGTTACCACAAACTTAGTGACTCAAAACAACATACATCTGTTATCCCACAGTTTCTGTTGCTCACTTGGATTCTCTGCTTCCGTCTCATCAGGCTGCATTGTAGGTGTTGGCTGGGTCTCTGGTCTCCTCAGAGGCTCCATCTGCTTCCATCAGAGGAAAGATCGGCTTCCACGCTCCCTTGGGTTGTCAGCAGAATTCATCTCCTTGCACTTATAGGACTGAGGTTCCCGTTTCTTGCTGACTGTTGGCCAGGGGCTGCCCACAGTTCCTGGCCACGTGGCACTCTCACAACATGGCAGCTTACTTCTTCAAAGCCAGCAGGGGAGTCTCTAGCTCCAGTCTGCTAAGAGGGAGTCTTCCAGGGTGACGTAATCACGGGGGCTGACATCCCATCCCCTTTGTCATGTTCTGTTGATTAGAAGCAAGTCACAGGTCCTACTCCCACTCAAGGGGAGGGATTGTACAAAGGTGTGAGCACCAGGAGGTGGGATCATGGGGGGGCCCCCTTAGGGTGTGTTCACCGTGGGAACCACGTGTACTCCCACCCCTAGTGCTGAGGAGCCCAGATACTCCCTCTGGCCGCCCTATAACCAGCCTTTGCTTGTGGATTTGATGCTGACTTTCATGGGGTCGTTGGCAGGGGGAGGGTTTCTGCGTGACCTTGCCCTCCACCCAGCTCGGGCCCAGCACCTCACAGAGTGCTGACTTCAAGGCTCAGGCAGCCAGCCTCTGGCCTCAGAGGAATCAGGGTTTTGCCACCTCCTCTCCCCTTCAGCTGTTCTTCATTGTTGTAGTCCTTTCATTTCAAATTGTGGCGGTCATTCCTAAAGGCAAGGGAAGACCTGTTAGTTGCTCATCCCCTCCCCCAATATACTCTGGATTTGCTTTTCCAAGCAGCCGGAGGCAGAGATGTGATTTTTCGTATGTCATCTAGAAAATTTGTAATACCTCTTTCGGTTGATCTTTTGTGTTCCGTTTCGTTCAGATGTAACTGAGTTAATTATCTGATGAGGTGAAGTTCTTCTTACAGAACTTCTTGTTCCAGAACCAAAGACGGTACTTATTAGATCCTGTAGTAAAAACCCCTTATGCATCTGGGCTGTGAGTTGCTCAAAGACGGTCTCTTCTTCCCGCCATTCATTTTATGGGTGTTTTACTGAGTGAATACAGTGTTGACTTATTTAAAATGCTTACCATTTTCAACCTCCTTTCTGAAACTCTCCATGGGTATTTATGAATAGCCTTCTACAGTCTGCATTAGTCTCCGGGTGACAGAGCAGCCGAGATTCCACATCTTGGAACTCTCCTCCTCCCGTGCCTAGCTTTGTTGTTCGAGGTCCCACACAATCCATGTGACAGTATGTCATGACCAAGTCTTCTCTTTCAAAAGTCTGGAATCTTCTGCTGTAGTTCCTCTTAATAAGTCTTTTGTTTGGGGAGGAGGATGAGAACGTGGGGCAAAAATGAGACCCTGAGTCTAGTCTCTGATGAAGTTTTAAGGCAGGAAGGCTGGGGTGCAGAATTGATTTATTCTTTTGCAATTAGTATGTTCCAGTTTGACCAGTTTGGAATTAGTTTATTCTTTTACATTTCAAAAGTGTGTGCCTCAGTGCCTACTCCTGAAAGGCTATGTTAGAAGGAAAAATAAAATTAAAACATGCTATTGATGTTTGCTTACCCACTCACAGGTGCACACCTGGGGAAAACCAAATCCTCTTTAAGTTTTTTCCCTTTTGAATTTCATGTAAATCATACCCAGATGGCTAATGGTAGCATAAATTGCTTTTAATGATATCTAAGAATCTTAGAAATTCATTTTAAAAATGTTACAGCAAAAGTACATTTGGAAACTGTTTTTTTGCTGGGATATATGTGTCTCAGGAGTTCAGTGTGAAAATACCCACTTGAAGAATTTTCTGGCCACACCTGCTCTCCCAGGGGCTGGCAGGGGACCCTCTTTGGTAGAGCTCCCCATTAGGGGACTGGGAGGGCCCCGCTTACCCCCTCAGCCAGTGGAGAGTGGCTGTGCGTGTGGCGTGAGCCCCGGACAGAACCCAGGGCCCTGGTCTCTAAGTCCTGCTCCCCGTGAAGAGAGAGCAAGTGCTGTAGGCCCGTGGCTATAATCTCACTTCCTGTTGCCTTACGCCTGCCTGGGCCAGGGAATCATCTTCAATTCCTGACAGCCACATGGCATCAGGGAGTTCCTCAGACCTGACTGAGTGTCATATAGGAGCCCCTCAAAGGAATGGCATGCAGTGGTGGAATGTCCTTCTGGCGACCACTTGCCTCTGGTTCTGTGGAATGTGCACAGTGTTGCATCACGTGCATATCCATATGGGGGGAGATGGGGAAGCAGCCCCACCAGCTGTGTGGGGAGGTGGCGGGGGCTTGCCGGACGCCTCTGGCTGGACTGCCGGAAGACTGAAGGTGTTTACCGCGGACAGCCCTTCCCTGCCACTCCTTCCCCAGAACTTCTACTTCACTTGCCTTATATTCTTTTCTTAATGCATCTTTAATTTTGATAGATTGTGCCGGATTGCTCTCTGTAGGGGTTGAACTCTTTAACGGTCTTCTAAAAATTAATTATTAATTTTCTAAGTGATATATGAATAAATTCTCTTCAGAAAAAGGGAGAAAAGTTGAAGATACAGCTAAAGTACTTTTGGTGACCACCCTCACTCTGGGTCCCCAGTTCCCACACAGATCCTCTCTGTCCCCCAGAGCTAACTGCTGTTATTGGTTTGCTGTGTGTCTTACTAGTTATTTTTCTATGCCCTGGAAGATATAAACCAAGTGTGTGGGGCTGTGTGTGCGCGGGTGTGTGTGTTTGTTGTTTCATATATAAACCACATTGCAGTAAACCTGTCATTCTATAATGATGTGTTTTTCTTGACGATATGTCTTAGAGGTCTTTCCATGATGTAGATCTCTCTATATTATTTGAGTTGTTTACCATAAATTATTTTTCAGCAGTGCTTTTTGACATTTACTTTCAGGAAAGAATTTGGGGTTTTGTTAAACACCTAGTGATTCTTTTTTTTTGCACTGTGCAAAATTTTGATCTCTGTGTGTGTGTGTTTTCCTCTCTCTTCAGGTCTCAGAAAGCTGATCCCCACAATGAAGGCTACATCTTGGAATTAGATTGCTGTTCCTCATTAGACCACCTGACAGACCAAAAAATCATCCCCGAGTTTATTAAGAAGGTGAGCCGTGCAGTCAGGATACAATTGAACAGATTTGCAGAGCATTCCCCTGGGCGACAGGCGAGGGGCTGGCTTAGGGCAAGGGAGGCACACCCCACAGCCCGGGGCGGAGCCAGTGCCACCTCTGCCGTGGCCCTTTGGGCAGCCCCACAGCAAGGCAGCCCCTCCCACACATCACTCAGGCAGGAGGTGACTCTGGAACAAGATGGATTCCCCCTCCCTCCCAGGATGGTGGGACCCTGAACCCTGTCTTTTAGGGCTGGAGTGGCATTAACAGCTGACAGGCCCCCTGACGGGACTCCTCTCAAGCCCTGAAGATGGTGTGAGCACCCACATCGCACCTTCCACTCATCCTGTGGGTCTTTGTTGCCGTGAACCCCCTTCCTTTCCTGGTGTGGGAGCAGGCCAGAGTCCTGTGGCCACTGGCATGCAGTTGTACCAGGAAAAATTTCCTAGCTGCAGGGGATTCATTCTTTGCCCAGAAATGTGTCTGGTTTTGAACTTCTCTTCATGGCATATGAGGTTTCCTACTTAATTGCAGGGTCCACTTGGGTTTCAGTATGATGACATTTACTGCAGAAGGAATGTCCTTGCCCACACTGGGGCTAAGTTCATTGCTTAATGCTTATCTTGTTCTCCCCTACCCAGTCTTCCAAAATAACTGACAATTCCCCATCTTGTAGAGGTGATTATGATGTTTGAGGCCCAGTCAGTCAATTAATGAATTCATTAATAAATATCATCAACTTTGGGCTGTCAACTTTGGGCCAGAAATAGTACTACATAGGTGCTTGGATACAGAGAACAAAATACATGCAGTCCCTGCCTTCGTGTCCTCACAACCAGAAGGCAGACCCTGACCGAGTGTGATGAGCATTACCAGGAGGAAAGCTGGGGAGTTGAGAAGCAAGTGGACCATGTGTTCTGGGCATCAGGGAGGTACCTTGGGCTGAGACGGGAAGGATGAGGGAGAGTTATCTGGTGATGGGGCTGCCTGGGGCAGGCTGGGGCGCCTCCAAACACAGGGAGCAGCATGTGTGAGGGCCTGAAGCAGGAGGGAGCGGGGAATCAAAAGATCACAGGAGCTTCAGCAAAAAAGGGGAGGGTGAGGGATGGGAGAAGGGCCAGGACTCAGCTGTAAAAGCAGTGGGAGGCTGTCATGAAGAATTCTGCAGAAGAATGAAATAGATTGCCCCTTGAAACACCCAATGACTCGTTTTTGGTTTCCTTCCTGCCTCCCTCCCTTCAACAATTGTTGAGTGTCCGGGCTCTTCGGGGCCCTGGGAATAGCCACTCAAGGATGCTGGGAGCCAAGACCTACAGCCTAGGGATCGATGACCTCTTAGGTCAGAATTTCTTCTGGTAACTTTACTAGAGGGATGGAGACTCTCTCTACTCTGTTAGAATTTACATCATTACTTAAGAAATAGGAGAAAGTAGTTTTGTTCACACGTGGAGAAGCCTGAGAACACAGGTCTTTATGACTCACGTAGGTGTCTGTAGAAAGAGGGTCATTTTCTCTGGATTGTTGCAAATAAAATGTTCTAATAAACTTGGGTAGGGACATTGCAGAGGTAGAATTTACCCCATGATCTGAGTACTGGGGAAAAAATAGTTTCAGAAATGGTTTTGTAATTGAGACTCAGATGCATGGAATATTTGAACAGTAAGTGGGTAAGATGAGGGCATGAAGCTCTGCCCATACTGTTAAATGTGCTCTTTTAAATAAAACATGTGATTGGTGCTTTTGTCTTAACCAGACCATTGCATGACTGACCCATTGCATTGTGCCCCTATCAGATCTTAAGGCAACAAAGGCCTGGTTAGTGACTGGGTGCTGAGATGCTCTGTGTCTGTAGTGCCTGAAGTGCGGGTGGACATCTGTTCAGCAGAAGGGATAACCCCAGAGTTAGAAAGCCAGTTTTGTATTTAACTTTTACTCTTATCCCTCCTACTGATGATATGTGTGTGTACACATCAGGATCTGATGTTTTGTTCAGTAATTAGTTAAATCAGTCATCGACACCCGCTTATTCTATATTTGTATAAGAATTCTGTTCTTAACATTTTGAAAATTATACACTTTAGAGCCCACTGTGCCATCTTGCCCCTGCCATTCCCCTGGTTTTCAAATAAAAATCACTGGGTCCAGACAGGCTTGCGCACTGGGGCGGCCCTGAGATTTCTGACCTGGAGCTTGTCTCCAAATGTGCATCCCAGAGTCTCTCACTTCTGTTCCTCTCAGCAGAGAGGCGGTTGACGGTCACGGTCAGCAGGGTGGAAGGAGAGTTCCCCGCTCTGGAGAACCCAGGTGTGTTGGGGTTGCCCCACCCTTTGTCGCCACACTGTTTGTCTGTGGCTGGACCTGGAAGGATCCGGCATTTCTGGCTGTCAGTGCTGGCTGCAGCTTTAGTTTCTAGGCCAGTGGCCATGAGAACCAGGGAAAGAGGGACAAAACGATGGGCCTGGGCCCTCTTCCCTCTGCTCCTCTTTTCTGTTGTTGGACTTAATTTCCGGAGAAAACACTACCTCTCTGTGCAGAGAGCAGAGGGGAACCAGATGCCTCTCTGCAGGGTCAACAGCTATTCCAGCTGACGGCAGAATTTTACACATGTGTAAATTTTTCTGTCATCACGCAGGTAGAAGATCACAGGAGCCTCCTGGGAAGAAATATACTAAAAACCATTTGTATTCTTTCAGTAAATATTTAATGAATAGCTTGGTCCCTATTTATATATATAGTGGTGACACTTGTTAATTGCCATTCACTTAGGCCGAGATGAAGCTGTGTCGCTGGCTGCTACAGCTTATAGTCATTACTTTTTATCTGGGCCATTGTTCTGTGTGAAATAATGGCTCCCGTTCCTGTGACAAGTAGATCCGTCTTGCGATGAGATGGTAATTAACTCGTTTTGTCATTGTGCCATCATGCAGGATAAGCTTACATTCTTCTCTGCATATGAGAATTAAACTCAAAGTGATGTAGAATTTTCGTTCTTAAGAACAACGTCCCAGTATGGTTTTTCCACCAAATGTTTTAAATTAGTGGAACCTTTGGATAGAGGACACGGATAGAAGGAGGGAAAGGAGATTTCATTATTTTCCACAATTAGGAAAAATAAAGTCATTTGTATCTGTCACGTACAATTAGCTGAAGAGGCCGTAACTCACAGCGCCTCTCCATCATGGTTTTGCATGGAGGGTGAAGGAAGTTGTGTAGAGAAGACTCTGTTCCTTCCCATGTGGTCAGTGATTCTCTGAGCACTTGCACCAGTCACATTAAATCTGGCTACTGCCTTTTCTTTTCCCTCTTGGATCCTGCTGTGCTCCAGCCAGCCAGCCCTGTATGTAAATTATTTATGATGGACCACGGAACATGTAAAATGCATATTTATGGGCAGACCTGGAGAGAATACGTTTTCCAAGTCCTAGAACCAAATGCTCGAGAGATGAAGAGTTGCAAGGTGGTGAGAGAGTGACGGTGCGTCTCTGTTCCTTTGAGACAAAGGTTCGACCGCCAGGTACTTCTGGAGCCCGTCTTCCATGGCTGGTGGATTTGTGGGAGCCCTTTGGATTTCCTATACTTCAGCATTCCCAGAGGATTGTAAAGAAGCAGAGTGGTATAGAATGAAGGGCCTACATGTTCATCTTGAAATTACTTTACGTTCTTTGAGTTTCTTGGGAAAGTGCTCGTGTGTTGGAAAGTTTTCAGAGTCACTGCACACATTTTCTGGTTTGTTCTTCACAATAATTCCATTCAACACGCCCGGCTGGCAATGGTGTCTCCCTTCTAGACAGAAGGAAACTAAGCTCAGAGGGGACGAGGGCTTGGCCCAGGGGCTGGGACTGCTAAATGATGGCAGCAGCTGGTCCTTGCATGGGGAGGCACCAGCGGGGGGCAACAGGAGGAGCCGGAGGGTTCCATGGCCTGGTGGCCCGAGGAGGAGTGTTTTGGAGAGGTATGTAGCAATGAGGGCTCTCAAGAGTGAGGGATGGATGCTTGTGGAGATGGAGGGTCAAGGTGGACACTGCTTTTCCTGGTGAGGTCAGGCACATGGAACAAAGGCTCGAGGCTAAGAAAGGGTCAAGTCCTGTTTGGCTGGAGTGTAGGATGGACAAAGGGAGGAGGAAGCCTGTTCTGGGCAGGGCTCTTTTGATTACCTGGAACAGAGCCCTACTCAGGCCAGCTCAGGTGACTCAGGTGGGATTTACTAAAAAGATGCAGGAAATGGCCTGGAGCCCCAGGTCCAGGGGCAGAAATTTCCCTGGAACAGGAATACGGAAAATAAAAAAAAAAAAAAAAAAGATTTGTCTTCCTGGCTGTATTATGTGCTGCCTATATTTATGTACATGCATGTTTATTTGAATTTTAAATGGGATTTTCCTCCACAGGGGCAGTAAATGTGTGCTGCTTAGACCCTGTGCTAAAGCCTGTACATGCTCTGTACCCTTAACCCTCATCTCACCCCTCTGAAGGCTTATCCCTGTTTTACAGGTGAAGAAACTGAGGCACCAAGAAGCTATGTAGTTTGCCCAAAGTTACACCTGTGAAAGGCAGCACTGGGATTGACCCAAGCCTACTTGACCCAAAGGTCACATTTGTGACCACTGGGCCATGCTGCCTTTTCTGCATAGTCCTCAGGGGCTGAGAGTGGGGCTGTCTGAGCCAGAAGGTGATGTTGGGCATGTGAGGCAGATGGGTGTAACCGTGTTTGGTCCATGGGGCCAGATTTTGGAGACCCACAAGGCCTCCTCGCAGTGGGGGCTGGGGTTCTAGGCCTCATTGCCCACAGTGGGGAGCCATCCCCCTGCCATGGTCCAGGCAGGACTCCCGGTCTTTGCCCTCAGGCCCTCAGCTCTGGGCCCTGTTCCTTAGACTCACTCCGTTTCATGATGGGGGAGCGGCACTGATCTGCACAACCTGCTTAGGACGAGGTTTGTCCTCACTGGACCACAGAGCCTCTAGCATGAAGACACTTGAGGGAAGGCGAGGCAGACCC